CTCCTCGTTGAGGTGCACCTTTATGCACATTCTGCGTTACTTCTTTCAATTGCCATTCCGCCGAGATATTTCTATAGTAAGCGTCGTACACCTCTACTGAGGTGATCCCATCTATTTAAGCTTGTTTCGAGACATTGTAAAAGTGTCCAGCATGGCTTCTTAACCGTAGAAACACAATAACGGCGGACGGCGAATTTTCGCACAGTACAGCGACGACGTCAGCAACTTTCACCCAAAAATTTCGCTCAGTAAAACACAACTACGACGACAATGAAATCGGCTGCTTATGACAAGGTTGAATTAAATTTTTTTATTAATTTTTAACAAAAACTAATACAGTATTTTTCAATTTCGTTTTAAAAACTTGAGAATATGTAGCATATGGTCACAATGGATCGTATTTTGCCGCTGTCGCCAGCGACGAAAATAGAAATAAGCCTATCGTCGCGAACAGTCGTCGGGCGAACTTCATCGTTCGCTTTGGTTGTGCGCGTTCTCATATACGTCAGTGTGTTTTAATTTTTACGGCGAACATTCGCGGCGTAAAATTCGCCGAATTCAAAATTCGTACTCTACTCAAAAAACTTAAAGGGGGCTTTAGAAAAAGGTAATAAAAGCTAAATTTAGAGGCTATCTGATCCATATGCCGCCCTAATTGAATATTTTTTTTTGAGTCCGTGGACAAAAAAAAAAAACAAATTCGAAAAATATTTTTTTTTTCGTGTTATCTGTCAGAATTACATGAGAACCGTAGCTCCTAGAAATTTTTAGACAATAAATCTGAAAACTAGAGCAGCATTAAAAATGCTTTTTTTAAGTCTCAATACGACCGTTTTCCACCGAAATACAGCCAGTCAAAAATCACCGAAAAATTTGAATTACAACTCGTGAACCCCCATATTTTTTTTAAACGCCAACGTAGACCGCCATCGAGTCTCTCCTGAGGTTTCACCTGGACCACTTTGGCAATCATCGATCTAGAGGGACCTAGAGGAAATAACCTTGTTTNTTCTTTTATGTATGTATATGTAATGGCATTTTTCTCATTATTTGCAGACCAAAATGGAAGGCAAAACAGTCATTATCACAGGCGCCAACAGTGGCATAGGCAAGGAGACAGCTCGCGAATTGGCCAAACGGGGAGCGCGCATCATCATGGCCTGCCGCAATCTGGAGACAGCCAATGCTGCTAAAGGTACGACATAGTTATATGTCATTGAAATCGTAATCGCTTATACATACATACTTATTACCTACTCTTTTTTCCAGAGGAAATCGGCAAAGAGACGGGCAACAACAAATTGATTGTGAAGAAACTAGATCTGGGGTCACAGAAGTCGGTGCGGGAATTCGCTGCCGATATCGTAAAAAATGAAC